GACAGGGTTTCTCTGTGGCTTTGAAGCCTGTCCTGGAACTAGCTCTGTAGACCAAACAAACAAAAAAACAAAAAAACTGAGGGTAGTCTTTGAAATCGTCAAGACAAACACAAGCACAAAAAAGTTGCTGGAAAAAGAAAAGATGATAAAAATCTGAACACTGGAACAGCTGGTTGAAGGTATATAGGCATTGCTGCTTTGTGACTTCAAGTCTGAAATTATTTTAAAATAGAAATCTTAAAATTGAGTGCAGTCTAGTGGTATGTTTGCCTAGTATATGCCAGGCCTCTGGGTCCCATCCCTAGTGTGCATATGCACACAGATACACACACAAGAATATTGCATCTGTGGTACATGAAGAATAATTAGCTTTCTTGAAATGGCTTTCTCTGGGTTTGGAACGGAGTAATACTAGTCTCTTAGAACAAGTATCCTTATTTTAAGATCAGGAAGTACCCTCATCTCTTTAATTTTCTAGATGAGTTTGTACAGAATTGGTACTATATTTCTCCTAAGTATATGGAAGAATTCTTCCAATCTCCTGCCCCCGTCACTCACACACACACACACACACACACACACACACACACACACACACACTGGCATTCTGTGTCCTTCAAACAATTTGCTATGAGAAATATTGGCATGAAGTTGTTCCCTTTATTAGCCAGTATATATTCATTATACACAATAATGCGCTTCATTAAGACATTTTCATACATGTATATATTTTGGTCATATTCACCTCCATTATCCTCTCCTGTCCCCCTTCTTCCCCCACACTCCTTCCTCTCCCCAAGCAGTGCCTTTTTATTTTCAAGCATTTTTTGTGATCTAATGAATTTCATTAGTGTGGGTGAGGGGTTATTTACAGGAACATGGGCCTCTCCCTTATCAGTGGCCACCAGAGGAAACTGTCTCTCCCTTCTGCCAGCCTTCACTAACTGCCAATAACTCCTCAGGGAGGGGTAGAGGCTTAAGCTCATGAGGCCCTCCCCACTAGCAACAGTGAACTGCCTAGAAATCCTTAAGGACTAGGCGTAGAGGGGCCGGGTTTTTTTTTTTTTTTTTTTTTT